GTTTGCATTTGCAATAGTTGTAAAACCTGTCAAAAACAATGCCCCTGTCACCAATTACATCCTATACCGGACGTCATTCAAGTCATGCAGAGGAGATTTTTATCTCCTGTTTTTTGATAAGTCGGCTATTTGAGGCGGGATACTGTTGGCCGACTTATCGAGACTGACTGTGTATATCAAGTCCGACTATGTCGCGACTTAATCTACGATTTCCATACGATTATTCTTCGATACTTTCCGGTAGGCCAAAATCAGGGCTATGAATCGTATGATTTACAATTCTAAATTTGATGCTATCAACGGTCAATCATACGACTTAACGATCATGTTCTTATGTTTTGTCGAACTTAATCTTACGATTGTGGCTAATTATAATGTCGAACGATTTATGACTGGTTGATTGTACAGATTATACCAGTTTTGGCTTAGATTATGCAGATAACGCAGATTTTTACAATTTTATTGGTTGACATAAGATATCGTTCGATCGACTTAAACGGTACAACTGTATACGCAGCAATTGAGTTAGAAAGTATCTCACTAAGCAACACTGGTACATGTCTATTGAAAGTACTTTTGATAATAGTATATTATTGTGTATCTTATTGCTGAACGTCAAACTGAAACCGAATGTAAAAACAAGCTATCTGTGTATGTTACTGTGATGAAAATTTTTTTGCAATTGTCCCATTTCGGAATCCTAGAATGGGCCGTAACATTAACATGACGCATGGCCAGTTAACCGATGAACCGGAGACGAAGCCAAATGTAGATGATTTATACTATCTACGAATTTATGCTGTTATTGCTTCTGTTACTATCGCCCGTGGACGTACTAATACATGTGATAAATTACTAGGGTGTAAATCTATATTTGGAAACCCAGTTAGAAAAATCCAGAGAGAAAATCTGTATGCAACACAGAAGATTTGCATATGACACAATCGTTCATTGGTTAATTTGGGGGAAGGAGTCTTCATTGTTATGCTGCATTCATGAGCATATTACGGGTAATGGCACATCCCCAACAACAAAGTTAAAATTAGTTACGATTGCATTGCTTTTTAGTCATTTCAACTATAATATATGGAAGCAATCGACAAAGATGAAATTAATTTAGCAGTGCTTTCATTGTCACCGAATAGAAACAAAAATGAGCTACAATTAACGATGGACTGTATCCGCCTGATAATATCAACAATCTGAATAAAGAATTCTGGAATTGTTTACATGTCTCATTATTTCGCCCATTTTGGCCGATTGATAATTCAACGTTTTACTGGTCAATGTAAATTTTATTTTCTCATTATTGTGTTTCCTTGTCTGTAAAAAAACTGCGGCTTATTTCTTTATTTTGAAACGTCTAAGATTACCCCGTTCTCCCTTTAGTTGACGATATTCTTGGTCATTGTGACGCCAACGCCTTCAATTTGAGGTCATTTAAAACTTAAATTCTTCAAGAAATTTGACTTCCTTATTTATTTATTCAATCTATTGGTTAATTTTTATTTGCTAAACGTTGTTGGAGAAACAGTTTTATCGTTATGAAGTAGTCTTATGATCCGGGTTATCCAGTACAGTACCTTCCTATTTCGACAATAACATTCAAGAGGTCAAATTGTTGATCAATCGAATATGACCTACCTTTCTCCACGTCGGAGGATGGGCTGCGTTATCGTGCTGAAGCAAAATCTGTTTGATTAATAAAAACGTCTCAAATAAGTGACTTTCCAACTTCACATGCCAATCATGTAAAATTGGGACCACTGTGTTGAAGATTAACTAGTAATTACAAGTCAGTCTCGTGCTCTTGTATCTATAGACGAGGCATCGAGCGAACGAAATGATGTCGGCCATTTACTACATTTTGTGTTGACCATATTCCGCAACAAATAACATTACAAAAAATCACGTGAGTTGCACTTAGGGAAATAAATATATTAGAGTGGGACCGCAAATCCGTTGCAATTGCAGAAAGTGGAGGGTTGCATTTATCCACTAAGTCCCATGCTTGGGACTGAACAAAAGTTGCATTTAGAGAGGGATTGCACTTATGGGGGTTGCATTTATGGAGGTGTCACTGTATAGTTTAAATACTGAAGACAAACTAGCATTTTACAAACCTGTAAGAAATATGGTTATACCATATTACATCGTTGTTAAATTGCATCTATGATTCTTTACACTATCCCCTCCGCATAAATTTTCATTATGACAATCTATTCATATGATAACTTGCTCGGCTCGATCGTTAGTGAAGAAGCAAATGTCTTCGACTATTGAAATATAAATTATGTCTGAATTTAGCATTTGAAACTGATGTCAAGTATCGAAGGTCAAATATCGTAAAGTTTTAGTCTCGTTTAACTGTCAGATTGCATAGTCGTGTTTACATTCTAAATGCAAATCATCATACGATCGGATCAACATTTACATCTAACCATATTCAATGCTTCTACTTTAGCATAATTTACGTTTAGACTAAATTTGAATGACAAGCCTCATAATAAGCATCAATTTATTAAACAAGTAAACCAACAATGTTGATTGTGAACAGACAACAACCAATTGCCTGAACGTAAAGTGATTTGACATTCTATACATTTATAACTTTGTAATGTATGCGAACATAACTTATACTATAATAACTTATACTATAAATATTAATGATGTATCAGTATGCGCAACATATTATATGACCATTTATGATAAAGTTTTTACGATAGAGTCGTGACTTTAACTACATCTGCGTTCATTATACTATGAACCCAATTTTTGTAACACATCATATCAAATTATTACTAACTTATTTAATGACTCAAAATATTCTTCTATCAATACAGCACAGCCCATTTACTCCTATTTGATATGCAAAAAAGAGGCACTAAACAATAATCCCTTATTTTATTACTTCGAAATGTTATGTAACACAAAATTGCATCCTCCATATGAGCACCTCTTAGCATGCAGAATTTTGCCATCAAAAAACAGAATACAAACAATTATCGCCAACTTAATTATTTTTTTATATAAAAAAACTCGTATAAATTGTGAATGTAATATTGGCAATATACGATTCGCTAACTAAAAGTATTTACCATAACAAGTTGTAGATTTGCGCGAAAAACGTAGCGATATGGATTTGTATTGACACGAAGTTACAGATAATTTAGCAGAATTTGCTGCTAAAAAATATAAATCGCACAAGAGAATAATTAAGAACAAACTAGTTTAATCAACTTCCTTAACCGGGAAATTCAAGCAAATGTAAGTACGCTTATATAGAAGTGGGATATTTTGTAACTTTGTATGAAAAAAATCAAGCAGCAACTATTATCCAGAGAACATTTCATCTATGGAAAAAACGGATTAGTTCAGTTAGGAAAATCGAGAATGTGGTAATTGAATAGCTTTATCGGCCAGGTGGCACATTTATGAAACGTGCTCAAGATCGGTCTATTAAAATGCAAGCTGCCAAAGAGAGCGGCTTTGCCGCATTTGAGCTAGCCGGAAAAATGCATAAAGTCTAGGTCAATTAAACTAACCTGCTTTTCAGATTTTTTTTTGCGGAGCAGGGTGCTCTGTGCCAGAGTCAAAGCCTCCTCGCTTCGCGGTGGTACCACTGAGTCGTATTTTGGGGAAGGATTCTTTGCTGGAAACATTAACCGTAAACCAATTGGAGTTGTTTTAGGGAAGTTTTATCCCAAAGAACTGAATTTACCGTGCGAGTGGTTTTTGATAGCAAGGTTACCTTTGCATTGTCATTTTGTACAACTACTCAAATAGAATTTATGAATACATTCAATTTTATTTACTAGATTTTGATCCGTAATATCCAAAGACCCCAATTGAATATTGCATATATTATTGTAAAACGTCGGAAAGTTCATTTTGTGCCGTATCTGTTCTCAACGAATACATTCTGTCTTCCATTGTTCTATAATGTATTTAACTTGTTTTTGTTCTTAAAGAATCTTATTATCTTCATGTCAGTTTTTTTCTTCATTTCTATTTGACCCTTGCAGAGCGAGGCCAAAGATATCAATTGATTTATTTTGTTTGCTATTGTAATTAATATAGCTGTTTTCCCGTTTTATGTTATGAAACGGGTAGCGAAGATTTAATATAGATAATATAATAATAAAATATAAATTCTTGATGTAAACGGGACAGCAATCGGCATTTTGGTCGGATTTAAGCACTTAACAGAAAATTTTTGGGGAAGCAATCGGTACTTTTTTTGAGGCGAGGCCTCATTGTTCCGCGAGACGTTTTAGCCGGATTCTCGTGAAATGTACGTTGATTTTCAGGTACTAATTCATCAAACTCAATTAATTGTGGAAATAACTATAACAATGTGGATATTCTTGTCGGATAATCCATTCTCCTGGTTGAAGCGTAAAGACATTCCCTCTTAAGGCACGATTAAGATATTTATATTTTCGCCAACCTTGCTGCCGATCAACATTTATATTTGTCTGACAGATAATTATTATCAGAGTCTGCTTGTGCATTACTACATGCATTCCAACTTTCATTTATCTCCGTAAAGGACATTTTATTGATTGGTATGTATATTACGCCTATTCGTTAAACATACAAAAAGTTCAATTTGAAAAATAATTATTTCATATAGAAATTGAAAGCAACCAATTACAGTTATAGTATGGCAATCTATTCTTGTTCGTATATTTACATCAATGGACGCGTTTACGGGAAAGGCTGTTATCGGCAAGAAGGTTGTGCCCTTCATTGGAAAATGCGATTACGCTTTCCTTGTGGAGAGTGTGGCATACCAACTGCTTCTAAATACGGGGTATGTGTGCACAACATGCCGCGAAACGCAGTAATAAAGCAAATTCTTGGGGGAAAAAACGTGAATAATGCACGGAGTACGAGTGTCTGAATACCCAAGTAAATCAGAGGCAAAGCCTTCTCGCAAGTCATTTCAGCAGTTTCTAATGCCATGGAATAGCATATGGTGCGATAAAATGTACATGTCAATCAGGCCATTGGGGAGCCAATTCTGGCAAGCATACATTCAAACTATCCTTAGTTATAGTCAATATCCTTGGTCTTCTAGCAGTCATTACAATTGCTGGATTTGTTACATCAACAGAGCAATCAGAGATTTTACCCGCACTAGCACAGCCTTCTGCATACCCTCCTATTGCTACTTGACAGTCTTTCAAAGTGCCACTGCATACAACAACAATCAATGTATTGACGAGAATGTCCACCCTGTTGATCTGCTGACGCAGTCGAGCAAGTCAGGTGATAAAATCTTCCTCCGCAGTTGACATACTACCCGCAGCGACCTAATTTTAGTATTGTCACACTAGAGTTCAAATGTAGTAGTTTTCGTGACGGAAAAATGGTGGCAGTACAAGATACGAACAATAGTGTTACGGTCGGGAATTAAATGGGGGTTTTGGGAGAGCGATTTATCTTTTCGTGTAGGTGTGTTCGCCGACCGGGG